GCACAACGGGGCGCCATGGGCCTCCCGTAGGGCTGAGTCTGATTTTGTGACCTTGAGCTTGACCATGTCGGCCTCCAACCTGGGGCTTGGTTTTCCTATCTCTCAGAAGGGACCGTTGGACTAAGAGATTTCTAAACTTCCCTTTTGCTCTAAAATCCCATGCACAATTTGTTGACCTTCAGCGAAGGACTGACCTGCCTTGACTAAGAACCTCATCACTCGGGTTCCCTTTTTGGGAGGGTTGGGTAAGACTCTGTCATTTCTCAGAGTCAGTGACAGAGGACCCTTTGGACTTCCTTTATGTTTAAAGACATGACTCAAACAAACAAACAACAGCAACAACAAAAAACCTTTCCACGTAGCAGTTAAGGGAAATGAGCCTGTTTCATGTTAGGGGCCCCAGCAGAAAGGGGTCATTATTATTATTAATTATTATTATTATTATTATTATTTTTAAGATTTTATTGAGAGAGAGAACAAGCGTATGGGAGAGGCAGAGCGAGACAGAGAAGCAGGATCCCCGCTGAGCGGGGAGCCCGATGCGGGGCTCGATCCCAGGACACCGGGATCATGACCCGAGCCGAAGGCAGACGCTCAATCAACTAAGCCACCCAGGCGCCCCAAGGGGTCATTATTTTTATTTGAAACTTGCAAGCAGTTCTCAAACGCTCCTCCTAAGTTCAGAGACTGCAATGTCACGAGTGAGTGAATCAACTTCTGAGTTTATACCCAAAAGAATTAAAAGCAAGGACTCAGACATAATTGTACACCCAAATTCACAGCAGCATGATTCACAATAACCAAAAGATGGACGCAACCCGAGTGTCCATCAGCAGATGATGGAGAAACAAAACGTGGCGTATCCATACAATGGGACATTATTCAGCCTGAAAAAGGAAGGATGTGCTTACACAGGCTACAACATGGATGAATCTTGAGGACCCCATGTAAGGGAAATAAGCCAGTCACAAAAAGATGAATGCTGTAGGACTCTCTGCTTATATGAGGTCCCTAGAGAAGTCGGATTCACAGAGACAGAAAGGACAGTAGTGAGAGCCAAGGGCCGGGGGACGGGAAAGGGAGGGGAGTTTGTGTTTAATGGGGACAGAGTTTCAGTTTGAGAAGATGAAGAAAGTTCTGGAGATGGATGGTGGTGACGGTTGCCCAACATTGTGAATGCGTTTAATGGTACAGAACTGTACACTTAAAAATGATTAAAATGGTCACTTTCCAGTCATGTGTATTTTACTACAATAAAAACAAAAATGAGTGAACAAAACATTTCCTGGACATTTTTGAATTGGAGCAGTTCCCATTGGTTTGAATTCCTGAAAACAAATGAACAACAACAACAAAAACCTCCCTCTAGTTTAAGGAGGGGGTAAGGTTTTTTGTTGTTTCTGAAAAGGGATGAAATCATATGTGGTCAGGCTATTTTCCCAGGGGCGATCGGGTCCCAGAATCTTCGAGAGTCCTTATGCTCTCCAAGAGGACCCCAACCTCACCTGCCCTCCTGAAAGCCTGGAGAAAATGTTCTGCACTGGTTTTGAGTAACTCCATCCATCAAACCCAAGGCAGATATGACTTTCTGATGCTCCCCAGGCACCTTCCGCAGGGAAACCAGCATTCCGACCCCCCCATCCTGATTTGGAAGACACCTCACGCATCTCCTTATTAAAAGAGTCCCTTGTGGGGCGCCTGGGTGGCTTGGTCGTTAAGCATCTGCCTTCGGCTCAGGTCATGATCCCAGGGTCCTGGGATCGAGCCCCGCATCGGGCTCCCTGCTCAGCGGGAGGCCTGCTTCGCTTCTCCCTCTCCCCCGCTTGTGTTCCCTCTCTCGCTGTGTCTCGCTCTCTGCCAAATAAATAAAATCTTAAAAAATAAATAAATAAAAGAGTCCCTTGTGCACCACCTCTGAGGACAAGAAACTTGCCACCTCACTAAGACTGAAATCTTCTAACCATTCATTGCCTACTGAGAACTCTTCAGGAGGTGTGAGCCTCCATGGGCAGGTACAGCTTAGCTAGCTGCTATCAGATCCATGTTCAGAGCCTGCAAATTAATTTGCCCCCTCCAGGAAACTCACGAAAGCTGCAGACCTTCCCCACAGAAAAATGTATACAAGCACATATCCACAGCTATTCTATAGACACCCCCTCTTAACAAGCCTTACTTTAGAGCAGGCACCAGATGCCCAGACTTTAAACTCGGTCTTTTTTCCCCAAATTGGTAGAAAAGACTGAGAAACCACCTGCCCTTCTGCAGCCCTCTTGTTCCTGGAGGCCGGGGGCTGGGGGTGGTAGACAAAGGCATTTTCCCTTCTCCCCTCACGGGGCTCTGGATGGGAGGGCACTCACTCTCAAAGTGCCCCAGGAACTTGGGTGAAGGGCACCGGGGAGTGTGGGATGCTGGGGGTAGAACTTCCCTCGGAGTTCTCTCAATTTCACTCTAATTTTATAGACAAGGGAAGCTCAGGGTGATGGGGGGACAGGGCCACACTAAGCCAAGTACCTGAATGAGTGTTGCCCCACACTCTGCCCAGGTCCCTGGGAGAGCTGGGGTTGCGGGTATGACCTCGCACAGACAGGTGATCCCTGTCAGACCCAACCGGGTTTTGGAAAGGCCGTTTATGCACAGCTGGCAGAGGGCGGAACTCCTATAGGGCTCTGCCTCCCACCACCTCCTCTCCGCTGGGTTCAAGGGCTGAAAGCTGCATCCTGTGGAAGAGATATCCCAGTCCACCTAATTCTTCCTGTAACTGCCAAAGGGCCCCGGTGACCTGCCTGGAAACAATCTAAGTCAGATATGCAAATTTAAAAAGAAGAGGCCGGGATGACAGCACTCACCTGTCCCTAGCTCTGCCGTCTGGTCCTGGATGCGGTCTTGGTCTTGGTGGGAACCTCCCAGCCTCTGGGGATCGGCTCCACTCTGTCAACCTCGGACTCTCTGCTCAAATAGATACTTCTTCTTTTTTTTTTTTTTTTCTCTCTCTCTCTCCCTCTCACTCTCTCTGGTTTTTTTTTTTTTTTTTCCTCTTCTGTTCCCCTCCTTGATTTTCAATCTGATTATTTGTGTCAAAATCTGGCGGTGAAGGAACAGCCAATAGAGAGCGCCCGAGCGCGGGGCTGCATTTGCTTATCAAAGCTTCCCCGACTTCGGGCTCTTGCCAGCCCTCCACCCGGGGAGCCGCGCTCTGCCCCGGGACATTCTAACTAACGCCTCCTGGAAGAGGAAAGGATGGCTAAATCATTCCGTTTTTAAACTTAAAACACTTATCTACTTGATTTTGCATAAACTGTTTCGTCTTTCCTTCCTTCCTCTGTCTCTGTCTCTCCCCCTCCATCCCGAGCCAGGAGCACTCTGCTCCAAAGCCGCGGCAGACCGTTCTTAGAGAGGTCCCTCTTGTCCTTGCAGAAAAGCCGAATTCACGCTTCCCCAGCCTTGACCCCAGAAAAGGTGAAGGAGACGCCCAGGTGCTTCCCGGCGTCAGTGAGCCGCTCAGCCCGCTCAGCCCCGCGGCAGGTGCACTCCGGATCGGTCCCAGACCCTGCATGTGCCGCCATCTAGCGGCCGCGGAGGAGACGGGGGAGGCCCATGGTGGGTCACCGGCACAGCCAGGCTCGGACATCACATCCCGCCTGGCACGGAGCCCCATCCCCCGATCCCCCACCTTTTTCCTCCTTTGCCCCGCAAGCCTGATTTATTTCAGGAGGATTTGCATAAGACAGAGTACTGTTAGGCTGATTTGCATGCTCCTCCAGCCCAGCGCTGGAGAGATTATGTTTCCCTCATAAAGAAAACAAGTTTGGCGACAGGAAGCCCCAACTTAAACTGCAGGTCCGGGGCCCCGACATGAGGAGAAAGGGGGTTTCGGACGAGGCTCCTCTGCCGCTAGGCCCCCAGCCTGGAGGTCAGATGGGCCTGCACGATGCTGCGGGGGCGGGGTCCCAACCATCACCCTCAGCCCTTGGACTCTCCTTGGTGGAGAGAGAGTGTGGGAACATCTGGACTATTCTTTGGATGTTCCACATGGCCAACAGTCAACTGGAACTGTTTGTCATTATGCAGAAAACTTAGAATCCAAGGACATTTGGAAAAAATTCCCATTTCTTTCCATTTTCCCTCCATTATGTAGGCACATCCATGTTTTGCTTATCAGATCTTTCTTCTTCCACTGGCTGTTGTTTTATTTAAGTGCCTCCCAAATTCTCTTGCGGGTTTTATGAACATATTTAATGGTTTTGCAGCTTTTCATGGCTTATCTTACCAGCCACTTTCTTCATTTGGGGCATATCATGGTTTGGGGTAAAGCTGCCGAATTGGGTACATGCTGCTCTGGGGTTCTGATCCCACTTGGGGTCTTTATCCTCCTCCTTTAGTAACCGATGCAGGGACTCCCTTGCTAGACCAGGACCCCAGCCTGGAAGTGAAAGCAGGCCTTCTCTGGAGCCACCCGGACCCCTCTGTGGGAGGGCAGTCCAGTCACCTGGACACACCTTACAGCCTGGAGCCACCATGCAGCATCAGGTAGGCCTTTGTGGCCTGAAACCTCCCAGTCTCGGGGTCCCCTCCAACACTACTCCATATTTTTTAAAGATTTTATTTATTTATTTGACAGAGACACAGCGAGAGAGGGAACACAAGCAGGGGGAGTGGGAGAGGGAGAAGCAGGCCTCCGGAAGAGCAGGGAGCCCGATGCGGGGCTCGATCCCAGGACCCTGGGATCATGACCTGAGCCGAAGGCAGACACTTAATGACTGAGCCACCCAGGAGCCCCATCACTACTCCCTTTAGTAGGCAGCCCTGGAGAAGAAGTGTCTTCATTTAGCCTCTCCCAAGTGCTAAATGACTGCAGCATCCTTGTGCCAATTCATTCATTCATTTATTCAAGTTACTACTGGAACCTGTCCTGCTCCAGATTCCTCCTTCTTCCCTCTGCCTCCTGCCTTCCTCCCTGTCTTAGTCATCTCGGGCTGCCATAACCAAATACCACAGACCAGGTGACTTAAACAACATTTATTTCTTGCAGAGACCAGGAAGTCCAAGATCAAGGTGCTGGCAGATTCTGTTTCTGGTGAGGACAAGCTTCTTGATTTGCAGCAGGCCACCTCCTTGCTGAGTCCTCACTTGGGAGAGAGGCAGAGGGAGGGAGGGACAGAGTGAGGGATGGAGGGAGAGAAAAAGAGAGAGAGAGTGAGTGAGAGAGAGCTTAAGCTCTGGCTTCTTTTCCTTTTCTTATAAGGACACTAATTCCATCATGGGGGCCCCATCCTCAACACCTCACCTAACCTAATTACCTAGCAAAGGCCTCACCTCCAAATACCATCACACTGGGGGTTAGGGCTTCAACATGAATTTTGGGGGATAAAAGCCTTCAGTCTATAACTCAGCTAATACGTTTATTGAGTACCTGCTACGTACCAGATGCCGAGGTTTCCAACAAGAACCAGATGGGAGCCATCGTGAGCGCCTTCCTGGTCTAGCAGGTGGGACAGAGTACCCTGAAATTTACAAACTGGGCTGGTAAGTGCTGTGATGTAATCATGGTATGCAAAGGAGCACAGTTTTTTTTAAAGATTTGTTTATTTATTTGACAGAGAGAGAGAGAGAGACAGCGAGAGAAGGAACACAAGCAGGGGGAGTGGGAGAGGGAGAAGCAGGCTTCCCGAAGAGCAGGGAGCCCAATGCGGGGCTCTATCCCAGGACCCTGGGATCATGACCTGAGCCGAAGGCAGATGCTTAACGACTGAGCCACCCAGGTGCCCCTGCAAAGGAGCACAATGAAATGAATGCAGACTTGGAAAGTAATGAGAGTTAATGAAGCTAATGGAAGTGACATCTAGGCTGATGCCAGGCTGACTTAGTTGGGAGGAGGAAAGTAGGGAAGAATGTCTAAAAAGAACAGCATGTGCAAAGAGCTGGAGGCAGGACCTTCGGGGAATTGACAACAGTCAAGTTCAGTACGGGTGGATGGTGGAGGGTAGAAGAAGGGGAGGGAGAGATGAACCTAGAGAGGAAAGAAGGAGCACAATCAGGAATTCCTCCCTGATTTTAAAACCTTCAATGATTTCCCTTTACCTAACAGGACACAAAATTCAGCTTCAGAGCTCAGAGTTTTTCAGTGTCAGATCTCTTTCAAATGACAGCATTTTCTCTGATGTAAGGTGCAGAAACCCAATTTATACCAGTTTAATAACAACAACAAAACAATTAGTGCATGTCACTGAAAAGTTTCAGCTTCAGGCATGGTTGGATCCAGATGCTCAGATGATGTTCTCTGATCTCATTTGTTCCTGCCTCAGGACATTTGCATTTGTTGTCCCCTCTGCCTGGATGGCCTAACTTCCAGATCTCCCCATGGCTGACTCATTCAGGTCTCAGCTGCAATGTCACCTCGGCAGAGAGACTTCCTTGGCCATTAACTAAAGCAGGACCCTCCCACCCCAGCCACTTTCGGCCCCATCATCCTACCCTTTGCTCTTCTTGCCAATTATAATTATCTGAAAATGTCCTGTTGATTTATTACCTTTTTATTGATCTCTTGTTTGGCCTGACTGCCCACACGGACTGTAAGCAGTACAAGAGCAGGGGTGGCGTTTGCCTGGCTCCCAGCCGAGTCTCCAAGGCTGACAACAGTGTACGGTAGACACTCGTGATGTTTTTACAGAGTGAATGGATGAACGAACGAATGAATCCATGCATGCATCTCTCTCTCTCCATCTCTCAGCATTCCTTTCTTCTCTGGGGCTGAGATCACCAACACTGTCAGCCATAGTCTATCATCTTAGAAACACCGGTGGAAAGCAAGCCCCTTCCTCGGTAGTTCGAACAGGAGGCCCCAGAATGACTCTGATTGGCCCAGCCCAGTCACAAGGCATCATCCCTGCACCAATCACTGTGGCCGGTGGGAGGGATATGGGTGTCTCATCGGCCAGGACTGCCCAAACCTCGAGGGGGCAGGGTTGAGTTTGGGCAGGAAAGAGCAGTTGTCACTACACAGAGTAAGGCCACGAAGGTGTTTGGGCCACGGCTTCCACTTTCCAAGTGTCTTCTTATTGTCGCCTGAACATGCCGCGTTCTTTCCCGCTGGAGACCAAATCCCAGCCCCTGCCTTTGCCCTTCCTGTTCCCCATGTCCAGAACGTTCTTCTCTTCAGTTTCCTCCTTTGCAGCCCAGTTCTGCTCGCACCTCCTTCAGGAAGCCTTCCTAGATGCCCGCAATCCCTGGGGCCACCCATACAGCCCTTGTTTTCTTTGTCAGCGGGCACTCAGCTGCTTCTCGATGGGATCAGCAACTACCTATGGGTAGGAATGCTACGAGTCCTCTCGTGGCATACACTGACCTCGGTGATGCGGCCGAATAAGCGAGAGCCGCAGCTAGAGCCCGGCAGTGTGCAGAGCCCCTACCCCCCGTGGAGATACCCCAGGCAAGTGCAGGCGGGCTCAGCAAGCGGCGCGGGAGAGGAGGGGGTGAACGTGCTGTGCTGGGCAGGCGGCAGCAGGGTCCAGGCTGCGGTCCCAGCACCAGCTAGCATTGGCTGTGACCCTGGGCACCTTTCTGGCCTTGGCTTAGAATGGCCACAGAATGCAACTTGAAGATGGACTGGGTGGTCCTTACCCTGGGGTTGGGGGCGCCCAGCGGGCCGCTGCGCCCCTGGGCCATCCTCCTCTGCCAGAAGAGCTCCCATTCTCTGCCCTGCTGCGACTCCGTCGTTCGGGGGGAGATTGTGGAGCTCTTTCCCAGCCCAGGCTCCTTGCCAGGAGCTGCAGGCAGTTGAGGTGGCGGGAGTCCCGCTTGCAAACGCAGCGTGCCCCTGGCGCAGGACAGTGCCCTGCGGGCCAACAACCCCACGACCCGGGCGCCCCTGCGCTTCCGGAGGAAGCAATTCACCAGATCGCCGCACGGTGGCGCTCTTGCCCCCTTTTCTTCCGGCAAAAACCAGGCTGAAAACCTCTGACCCGTCAGTCCGTCCATTCATCCATCCACCCACCTACCTATCTAATTACTGCTTAAATTACAAGAATGATATATGATCAGAGTAGAAAGAAAAAAGTAAAAGAGTATTGATCTCCCCCTGATGTGTATTCTTTTAGTTTCTCTTTCTCCCCCTCCCTCTGACTCCGCCCCCCAGGCTTCCTCTCCCCCCACTCCACAAATGCATGTGTGCCTATAATGTTTTTCAATTCAAACAAAGCTTCACTGATCCTTTGCTATTGAGTACCACACAGTCAGGCTATGCCTCCCTCAATCTGTGAGCTCCCCCGTTCTGCCTCCATGGATCTCATGATGGGGACGGGACACACACCATGAGGCCGCGTTTTGGGGTACACCCACTTCACAGGGCGGTGGGTTTGCCTCAGACAAGCAAGGAAGGAGGGGTGCTCTGCTCAGGCAGGGGGTGTAGGCGAGCAGCCCGAGGGCCTGCGTTCCTGCCCGGTGCCTCCCAGGAACCCTGGCAGGGATGCCGAACAGGGCATGTGGGGACCCCGTTCCTAGGTTTAGGAAATAACAGACCACTGAGAAGCCTACCTGCTCCATCCATCCGAACAGTGACTTCTCACTGGGAACCGTCTTCAGAAAGTTTCCAACAATTCCCCTCGAGCAAATGTGGAACCCCATGCTGAGGACTGGAGAGGCAGGGGGACCACGGATCCCCCCAGTCAGCCATCTGAGGTTTCAGAAGGGGAAACTGAGGCCTGAAGAACCCTAAGAAGCAGAGCCAGGACTGGGACCCTGGCCTCCCAATCTTCTTGAAAGCCCTTGATAAAGGGGACCGTTGTTTTATCATTTCCAACCTAGGTGTGTTACCTGTGTCTTATAAAACATAACTCCAGAGAGGATGTCTAACTGGAGTGAAATGGAAGCATTGTATTGGCATTCAGACCTGGGATTGCAACCTGGTCTTGACACCCACCAGCTGCAAGACCTCGAACGGGCACTCACCTCCCCCCTGGAGGCTCAGACATTACATCTGTGAAATGGGGCTAAGGATAATGCTTCCTCGGGGTTGTTGTAGGTAGCAAATGAGCGAATACATGCAAAAACATTTATAAATGCTAATACACTCTATGGCTGTGAGTTATCATTTCTCAGCAGAAACACATAATAGCTCGTGAGAGGAGTCTTCGATTTCTCTCTTTAATGAGACAGAGTCAAGAGCAGCCTTAGCTGCTGGGACATAAAAGAAGAAAAAAAAGAAAGAAAAACAGGGCAGTGTCAGCCTGATTGCTATCAGGTGGGCTGTGCTCATTTACATGGCAGGTTGATTATTAATGAAACACCTGACATTTGGTTACGGCTCTGTCAACTCCCGATGACTTCTGAGTTCATGTCCCCTGGATGCTCACAGGAAGCTCACTCAGAGGCTGCAGACAGGAGGACGGGACGAAAGCTTTGTGAACATCTACCTGGGCCAGAGAGGGTGGAGGGGCTTTACAAGTCTTGGCCCTTGAGTCTGTGGGAGCATTTTGCCACTTGGAATTATTGACCGGATGATGGGAAACTGAGAACCAACCCCAATGTGCGGCTGGCACCATAGCCAAGTCCACCGATCCACTGGGACGGATGGCCCACTTTTACTCCCCAGGGTTTCCCCAGTGCCATGCCTGGCACATCACAGGATCATTAGGCATGGGATGCATGAATGCAAGTCTGTGCAAGCCGTGCGTGTGTGTGTGTGTGTGTGAATATGTGTGTGTGTCCGCTAGCCAGCCTTAGGAGGGTGACGAGCTCCCAGTGGGTCCTCACCTCCCTAGTGAAGACCCAGCGAGGAACATCCCCTGCAAGTGATGGCCTTGCTGCCCGGGTAGAGGAGCTTGTCGAGGCTGCTGAGCAGGGAGAGGCCCTGACTCCCCTGAGCAGCCTACCTGGGCCCAGGGGCCTTGCTGCAGCCTCCAGACCCAGGAAGCAAAGTGTCCAGGGAACACGGAAGCAGGGAGCCAGAGGAAAGATATTTGGGAGCAGGCACACACCTTTGCAGAGGACTAGAAATTCACACCCATCTGGGAAAGAGCCAACTCTCCACTGCTCATCCTCACTAGGAGCATCCTGCAGGCTACACAGCACAGAATCCACAAGAAAGAGACTTTCAGCTCCTGGGATTTGCACTCAATTTACATGTATTTTGCATATACGGGCCACCTTCACCGATTTTCAAGCTACCGTTTTATCAGAGCCCACTGAAGGACCAGCCTTTTTTTCCTCCTGTTGCTTCTTATCACCCCATGAGCCTGCAGAAAGGTGGCCTCCACCTAAGAAGGCGGTCTAGATGCCGGGCAGAGGGGGGCGACCCAGTGCCCTTGTGACTCAGACAGTATGTCCTTGAAAGGTGGGATGTCCATGCATTTCTGCAAAATGAGTGGTTTGTAGATTAAAAAGGACACACACATGTCCTCCTTTGGAAAGCAGGAAAGGGTTCTTTACAAACCATCCCAGACCCAGCTGTTCCACTTCTGGGCATACACCTGAAAGCATCCAAAGGAGGGACTCAAAGAGCTATTTGTACTCATGTTCACAGCCAGAGTACTCACAACCAAGTGGGGGAAGCTACACACATGTGTATCGATGACAGGTACACCAATAAACATAGTCTATGGGGTGCCTGGGTGGCTCAGTTGGTTAAGTGTCCGACTTTGGCTCAGGTCATGATCTCAGGGTCCTGGGATCGAGCCCCAAGTTGGGCTCCCTGCTCAGCAGGGGGTCTGCCTGAGGTTCTCTCCCTCTCCCTCTGCCCCTCCCCACCTCTCTAAAATAAATAAATCTCTTTTCTTTTTAAAAAATTTACTTATTTTTATTTAAATTCAATTAATTAACATATAGAGTATTATTAGTTTCAGAAGTACAGTTCAGTGATTCATCAGTCTTATATAACACCCAGTGCTCATTATAACCCATGCCCTCCTTAATGCCCATCACTCAGTTAACCCCATCCCCCTACCCCTCTCGCCTCCAGCAACCTTCACTTTGTTTCCCATGGTTAACAGTCTCTTATGGTTTGTCTCCATCTCTGATTTCGTCTTGTTTTATTTTTCCCTCCCTTCCCCTATGCTCCTCTGTCTTGTTTCTTAAATTCTGCATATGAGTGAAATCATAATTGTCTTTCTCTGATTGACTTATTTTGCTTAGCATAATGCCCTCTTAGTTCCCTCCACATCGTTGCAGATGGAAAGTAAATAAATAAATCTTAAAAAAAATAAAAAAATAATCATGGTCTATCCATATGGTGGAATATTATTCAGCCTTCAGAGGAAGGAGATCCTGGCATACATGACAACATGGATGAGCCTGGGGGTCATGAAGCTGAGCGAAACCAGCCAGACACAGGACACATCCTGTAGGATTCCATGCATCTGAGGGACCTACAGAAGTCAAGATCATAGAGATGGAAAGTAGGATGGCGGGTGCCAGGGGCTGGGGAAGAGGAAACGAGGAGTTCATGTTTACTGGGGACAGAGTTTCAGTTTTGCAAGATGAAGGAGTTCTGGAGAGAGATGGTGCTGATGGTGGCCCAACAATGTGAATACGCTTCATGCCGCTGAACTGGGCACTTAAAAGGGGTTAAGATGGTAAATGTTGTGTTATGTACCTTTTGCCACAATTTACGGACAAGCCAGCCCGCTTAGCCCCTTGTTTCCACAGATGGGGAAAGTGGAGGTGCAGGGAGGTACGGACAGATCCGGAGTCCAGAGGGCTTCATCATCTTGGGATGAGAATCACAGATTTTCCTTCACTGCCTTTTCCAATTATTTTTTGATCTTCAAATATTTTTTCAAGTTTTTGTGATGAAAAATTTCAAACAGGAAAGCAAATGAAACGTGTCTAATGGACACCTATATATCCATCACGGTTCTTCAACAGTAGTTATATTTGCCGAGTGTGGTTTATCTCTCTAGATGCATATGTATGTTTGTCTAAATACATTTTGTTCTGATAAAATATTCTGAAGGTGTATTGCAGACATCATGACGCTTCACCCACAAATACTTGAGTGTGTATCTCTGAAAAACAGATATTTCTTGCAACATCATGTAACTACAGTTATTGAATTATCAGTAATTCCCCAATCCCATAGAATATTCTGCCCATGTTCACATTTTTGCAGTTTCCCCCAATTTTCTTTTAGAGTTGCTCTTTCAGAATCAGGATCCTGCCCAATTTCGAGCGCTATGTTTGCTTATTTCTTTAGTCTCCTTTTATGACACAACAACACCCACTATCCCTTTCTTTTGACATTGATTTTTGTTGTTGTTGTTTTGGGGGTTTTCTTTTTCCCCTGTAAGAGCCCAGACCAGTCTGATGGAAGGTCCTGCATTGTGGTTTTGTTTGATTCCTCATGTAACTTCACCCTATGCCGACTGGAAGTTGCGGCCAGGGCTTGAGTAGATTCTGCTGGAATGTTTTAGGATGGATACTTCCCCTGCGATGCTATGGGCTGTGTGGTATTGGACGACCCTAACATAGGTTGCCCCCACTTAGTGATGCGCAGTTTGGTCAGCTGGTCAAAGTGGTGACAGCCGGTTCTCTCCATCATAACGGTGAGTTGAGAAGCAATCTGTGGGGTAGGACTGTCCTTAGGCAAGCATCCTCTTCCTTCCCCTGATGGCTTTGGCACCCATTGCTGGCCCCTTCCTGAGTCAGTCCCTTCGCTGGAGGCTGCAAATGGTGATTCTTCGAATCCTACCATCCCTCCTATGTTTGTTATCTGGCATTTTTTCTGTGAAGAAGAGCTTTGCTTCATAAAGTGTGAATGAACCACAGTTCTTCCAACAATGAGAACGTAAATGATTAACTTTTCCCGTTCGTTGCTGATTTTCATCATAAGGTGTTGGCATAATTGGATCTTTTTGCTCTTCTCTCTTCTTTTT